GAAATAATCTAATCTAGGATTCTGTTTCTTTGGCTGGGTGAGTCCCTCAATTAGTGTTTATTTATCTTTTGGTTTAGGCAATAAAATGAGAGTTACATTCACTTCACAGGATTCTTACGACAATAGTAATAGTAGTTCAGGTAGTAATTGATTTAGCTTTTCTCCTTTCCCCCAGTGTTTGGAACAAGTTGCTCAGAGCTATTTTATTAAAATATAGCCATCCTGTTCATTCAAAAAACAGTTAGAGGAGTTTAAAAAAATGTCTCTTCAGGGCAGAAAAATTACTTGGATTTTTTTTTTCCCCCAGTTAAGTATCATCATGTTGGTAAGCTGCTGAAGGAGGGGGAGGAACCCACTGTGTACTCTGATGAAGATGAAAAAGATGCCCAGGATGCAAAGAAAGAGTAGATACTGCAGTGAGGAACAATCTATTTTTGAACCATAAAGGATCATTTGTAACATTCCACTTCTGTTTCACAAGGTGCAGCAGTGGCAAGTCTTACAAAAGGTCTAGAGGTACAGTGAATGGTTTATTTTCAAAGATTTCCTTTTTAAATACAGTGGAAAGCTTCTGAAGGTCTATGATCTGTCTTCCTTTAAACCCACATAATAAGAAGTAAGCATGACAAATGTCTTGTGCAAAAGTAAACTGCAATTTTGGCAATAAAGGACTATTTTTCTGCTATCAACATTTAGTGCAAAGTAGGTCGAAAACAAGTTTTTCATTACCAACCTAGCACTGTGGATACAAGCACATGAATAACTTCACATATGCAACACAAACACCACTAAATCTTCTTTTGTGTTAGCTTCTTCAGGATCTGTCCCCGGGGTTGTAGTTCCTTTAGAAAGGGGACTGTATTTTGTTTGTCCACAAAGCATCATATTCATTTGTTGTGCAATGTAATTCATTATTATGTAAGATAATTTGGCTTTCAAAACGTTGTGTTAGTGACTTACAGATGAAACACTAACTGCTTTTTAAAAAGATCAAGGATTTTTGAGAGGTTAAATCACTTTTAAATATTTAATAAAGACTGATGAATGCTTGAGGTATTCAATATGCATAATTCTGCATAGGCTAATTTCTCTGTTCACTTTTAAAGCACATCTATAGTGTTATAAAAGGTTAGATAACAAGTGGAACTAGGCATCCCTAAAGGTACACCATGGAGTGTGACTTGACTTTTGTTCATTCTATTTTCTTCTTAGTAAAAAGCACTCCTGTGAATGTTAATGGAATTGTATTAACCATGGAAGATCAGCTGCTCTTTATTCCTAGGCCTAAAAATCAAGAAGTTGCTGGTATAGCATGATTAGCAAGTGCTCTTGTACATACACCTTTACCTAGCAGAAAAACATTACATAACTTACATAAGTCAAGGTAACTTGCATAAGTTTCCTGTACAAGAAAAACAGTGTAAGCTGTTTCTGCTTGGAGGCCTTTGTTGGTTTGGAATGTTGCCATTAAAAGAAATGGCACAACCTCATGCATAACCAGCAAAGCTATACCTGTAGACCTGACCTTTGAGTTGCTTTTTACTTATTTGCTCTCTTGGCTTACCTCTATGCTTAATTACTAGGTTTTTTCTAAATGACCTGCCTCCTACCAGAGAGGGCTGCATAAATGCATATGACCAAGGAAAAATGTAAATGTTCATCTTCCAAAATACTTCTGTAAAACTTTCTTATAAATTCCAAGATAACTAATGAGTTGCTGATCACTTGTGAACTTTTTTCTTGTCCAGGTGATTCTGCTAATACAGAATATCCAGAATGCCTGTCTGATGTAGTTCCCTCTATTTCATTTCTCTGGCTCAGCTGTCTGGTTGTTTCAATTTGACAACATGACCAAAATGATGAACTGAGTCCTGAGTGGGAAGGTGTAAACTAGGCAAAAGTGTTCAGAAGTAGAGTGTGTTGCACAACAGCAGTTTTCATAAACAAGTTCACACAACATATTAAAGTGCCTGAGACCACCTGTGGTGAGAACAACTGACTCTTCCTCAGTCCCAACACTGTCCTGGGATTTTCTTTTGGTTGCACTGGGCCTTCTGCTGAAGAGCGAGGTTGTTTGAGCCAGAGAGTTTGTGTAAAGTGGTACTGTATGAACTGCCTAACGACGGTCTAGAGACACATGTAGACTTTGTAATGACCTTGTGTTGCTATTTTATTTTCAGAGACATCTTTGCAAACTACTACTAATGGTTTACCTCAAATTGGAAGTGTGCTTTTATTTGTTTAAGGCAGAAAATAAAATACTCTTGCATAATGGTGGTGTTTGTTTTTATTTACTGCAATCAAATGTTATATTTAATACTCCCCTAACGTTTCAAGATTTATATTCTCTTTCTTCAATGTGTCATATTATCCAATACATAGATTGAGTAAAGTATGTTCCAATGGAATGCTTGTAAATGCAATTCACTAGCAAAACTTTAACAGAATATTAAATAGAGAACGTGCTGTATTGCAAAAACAGAGTTAGGCAGAAAAAAAGTTCAAGTAATTGTTAATACTGAGCAAAAGCTGGAGCTTTGGAAGGCTGCAACTTACCCTTCAGTGGACCCAACCACCTTACTCTTAAGTTACTCTGTAACATCTCCCAAGGAACTGAACACTATTTAAAGTATTAATCTGTATATCAGAACGCTATGCATCACAAAGAAAAATAGTAACAAAAATGATGGAGAAAACAGGCAGTAACACAAGACAAGACTCATTGTTAATACTTCCTGGGGAGGAGGTATGACACTGTGGTAAGACTGTTACTTTTTCAGGGAAAACAGAATTTCTTGTGAAAGGAGATGATGCATGTCACAAAAGCTGCTCATAAAGCAGCAGGCATAGGTTTTACTTCTTTCCAAAGTGCTGAAGAAAATGGATGGGTTATAGCTTCTTTTTCAGTCTGTTCATTACAACTTGTACCCTTCAACAGTGACTAGCAGCAATGACTATGCAAAAAGAACCATGCCAGGCAGCTTATCAGGCTGTACATTAACCAGGTAGGACATGATGACCAATTAAACGCAGAGAATGTCACTGATCTCCCTCACCTGATGTGTCCAGCACCTGTCACAAAAGCCTACTTTAGAACAAATCAAAACAATTATGTCATATTGTTTTTCGAGACGAGAAAACTCATACTGTTAGCTGCTGGGTAAAATTCAGATATTCTCTCACCTGGACTTCACCTACCCTTAATCACTTTTATTAGCTCTTCCTGGTGTTTCAGTTAAACAAAAAAAAAGTTCAGTGTTGAATGCTTCTGTTGAAAGTTACGTAAAGGGTATTATGAAAGGTGAGGCATTTCTATGCATTGTCTGAAATCCCTGGATTATGAAGAAAGGGCTTTATATTGTAATTGTTGTATTGTATTTCAAGCAGATGGACTGATTTAATAATGGGCCTTGTGTATTTCTGCTTTAAAACCAGCCTGTAGGATTTTGACTTCAGCATTCAGTACAAGGTACGACCCACATATTTTCAGTAACAAAGCATTGTTCAGCCAACTTCCCTTCATACCAGCTCTATGAGGAGGTATTGTCACTAGGTCTGTACAGAAAATTAAATTTGATGGCAAGATCTGCAGTCTCAGAACGCAAATTCATACATGTCAGAGTAAACAGCGTTGCCATAAAAAGCACCCAGCCTCTTGAAACATCAGCTGGGCAAAATAGCACACACCAGGTTCAAATGAAAGGTGTGAAATGATGCCAGAAATGTTCTACATTTCTATTGCTGAACTATAAATGCTGCTTTTAAGGCATCTTTTAATCTAATAAATGTTTTAATTGCCAGTTACAACTACATTCTGTAACTTTTATTGATGGGATGTGACATATCTATAACAACTGAAATCCAAGCTATAAAGCCATGCATTTTAAAAGTTTTAAAGCAAGCTGTTACATGTATGTTTAAAGATTTGCCTTCAGGATAATAAAATTATATTAAGCAGTCCAGTTTATGAAAAGGTGGGCCTCAGATGTGCTGACAGGAAAAAGGAATTCTTCCTGTGAGTGTGGTGAGGCTGTGGCAGAGGTTGCCAAAAGGAACTGGATGCCCCATCCCTGGAAGTGTTCAAGACCAGGCTGGACACTGCTTGGAGCAGGTGGAAGATCCTTGGCATGGGGGTTGGAACAAGATGGTTAAGGTCCCAATCCAAACCATTCTATGATTTTATGAAAAGTAAAATTATTATTTAAACACTTGAAATCAGATTCTAAATAATGTCAAATAGGAAACACAGAAATTCGCTTTCAGTATGAAGATTACAATGATGTCTCACATTTTAAAGTGCATGCATATTTTATTAACTAACAATGTTTTACATGGAATGAGGACTTAGGAGATAAAGCAAATCCTCTATCAAATTACAGTCAATACAGTGAATGCTTGAAGCAATTAGAGAAATTGAGTATTTATTTGTTATTGGTTATTGTGACAGCATGATAAAACCCTGGAAATTTACACTGAAGGGAATAATCGTCCTTCTCCCCCAGATTAACAAAAAGAAATACTTCCTCACCTGTCACCAAAAGGCCTGTGTCATGGGAAATGGGGACTCATGGACACAAAACTGTCTATAGACTGACAGAGGGGCAAGTTTTGTTATATTTAATCTGCAAATATTGCATAGAGAAAAAACACCCTTGGTATGTCACATCAGTGCAACTGAAAACATTTTACACGGTCAACAAATACAATAGTCCATCTTCATTATAACTGTATAAAATACTAAAAAGGAGAGTTAAGAGGGGCATAAATGTTCTCCAAAATAGTCAGAAAATATTTCTGTCAAGAAAATAACATCTTTTTAGATAAAAGTAATAGAATAACAGTACTTTGAGTAGCAACCATTTGTCATCATGACCCTGAAAAGGCACTCAACATCTGAACATATGAACAGAAAGACTAATAAAACCTGGCTTAGAAGCCTGTAGGAATCACCAGTATTGAAGACTGGGGGAAAACCTATCTACCACAAACAATTACAATTATTCTTTTTCATTACTATTTATTAGAGCAGAAGTTACAAACACGGGTAAGATCTTATGCAATGAAGGCAACATTTTCACATTAACTTCATCTACTTCATCAACATATAATAAATAAAGCGTAATAAAATGAAAGCTGCAATAGTCAGCGTATTGAACTTCAAACTCTGTATCTTGCTAAGGGACTTTGTCCAAAAGTAATTGTTGCTGTCTTCTAGAAATATCCAGATGAATAAATATAGATATAACTCAAGCTCCTAGACTGCATTTTCACATTTTTATCTACATGCAGCACAACTCTGACAACATTTCACAATTCCTCTGGAAAGCATTTTTAAGCAAACTCATACTAAACAGCTACCTCACTATATGTGCCTTCAAAATCTTGTGAACTGTCAACCTGCATTTACATGGAGACTGTTAGCAGGCTGACATGCACTGCCCTTTCATCATCTAACACTCAGAGCTTTCCTTAGACAACCCTTCAGATTCCTGGAAGCACTACATTGAGCATAAGTTCAGTGAAGTCCTTCCTCCCAAAGGTCAGCAAATTTTCAGAAACACCTCTAGAATTGTGAATAGAAAACAAGGATTCTTCTAGTGGGGGTTTTACAGAAGATGGGACTTTTTTCACAGTTTGAAATCTATTACTTCTCAAAATTGAGTATAAATGTCCTGCACACCTTCCAGTCCCATCATTATAAACAATCTGATAGAGGAGACACTTCATATGCTTGCTCCAATTAGGTTTTTTTTCCAATTACTCATTAGTGGTAAATACTGTAATTTACATGATTCCCTGCATTCAGTCAAAGTGTAGTGCTCCAAGATCTCAGTCTGTGTCCTTTCAAGTTCTTTAGCCACTAGTTCATGAAAGTGTTCTGGCTCTGGGGAAAAGTTTTGGTCCTGTTATCCAAACAAAGATTCTGCTATTGTGACTCACTACACCAGTTAAATATTCTAACCAAAGGAATTACCTAAGCAAACCCCCCCCTCCAAAAAACCCCAGTAGTTCATACACCTTTTAATGATCAAAGGGCTTTCTTCTCCCACTTCTTTATAAAAACTTCAGAGCTATAATATAGTAGCTGTTCAGCATCCTCTTCTGGGCTCTCCTCCACAGAAAGTATCTGAGAAGGGGTTTGTCTGAATTATCTCAAGAGGAAATAGAGGGCATCCTCTGACATCTGCATCCATCTCTCTTCTCAATATTAATTTTCTCTCATCTCCTGTAGATAAGAAAAAGTTACTTGAAATGAATTTGGCAGGCAGGCAGGGAGAGAAAGGGAGGTGGCTGCAAGGGTATCCACCAACCAACTGGAAGGACAGTAAATTGCAAAAAAGGCTGTAAGAACAGCCAGTGGCAATTCTGTATGAACATCAGATGTATTTTAGCTATGTCAAAATTTACTCACCTGACACAGCTGTGCCACACATGGAATTGTCTATAATGTTTTAGTTGTCTACAGCATGTTGACAGAATAACCACACATCTGCTAATGCCCAGGACAGATACTGTGCCACCTGATTAAATGGACAAATATTCTTGAGTGGCAGCTGTGTGTTTCAGAGCTAAACTAAACAAACCCTTAATTGCAGAGAAGTTGCACTGTTTTGTTTGGGTTTTTTATGCCATGCTTATACCTTTTAAAACCAAAAACCATTTATCACTGTAAGAACTGTGGCAACCTTACCTGCCACAGACCTGTCAAATTCAGTCCCCTTAGCTGTGGTATCCCTCTCACCTCTCCTCTGAAGGGTCTCCTGAAGGGACAAGCCATCATGAGGAGTAACATCTGGTGCTGCCATAGACATGTGATGTGTCTTGAATTTCACTTTTTTGTGCAACATTTTCTTACATTTTCTCTGTATCTTTCTGAGCGACTCCAGCTGCATGCAACTGTCTGTCTCTGAAAAGCCACATTCATCAGGTAAAAGATTAGAAGAAAGCTTTTTTCTCTTTTTCTTCATTTTATGAGCATTTTTCTCCTTTTCCCTGGATTGTCTCTCACTTTTCTTTCCTTCATACCTTAATTTACTACTAGACCTCTTGCATGACTTTTTAAGTTTATGTTCACACTGCCTTGCCAAGCCCTCATGGACAAAATTAGAACAGGAGTTACATTGGCTGATTTCCTTCTCTTGACCTTCCAGAGCTACATTTTTATGGTAAACCAGTAATTTTCTTTCTCCGGCTCTTGCAGGCAAGCAACCTTTATTACAACTGCTGAAAATTTCCTCATACCTTCTTTCTGCTCTCTTCACTGAGCCACCACATGTCTCTCTGAAGTACTCAGAATCACTGATCTCTTCCAACAAATCCTTTAATCTGCAAGCAGATCTACATGTTCCATATGGTACAGTGCCTTCATCTCTACCATCTTCTTGTTTGAATTCCTTATTATGAGTAACAGTAGTGCACTCCAAAGAATGATTCAGTCCAGCATGGGGTAAGTTATCAATAGGGAGTGAGTCATTCCTCTGCACTTGCAGCTTTTTTGCAAGCTTGCCCCTATGGGCCTCGCTTTCTAACACTTTATCTGTTGACTCAAGTTCCCCAAGAGTGATCACCAGCCTGTAATTACTATCACTACTACAATTTCTCTTGTGGAGGTGTTGTACAGGACTCACTTCTCTGAAGTGCTGACCATGTTTGTTACTGAAGCTGATGTCAAACCCACTACCATCATCAGACACCACTCGCTTCCACCGGGACTTGTTTGCACTGGTTTTTGGCTCTAAGCAAACACGTGCATAGTGTGGTGTCTGATAGTAGTTTAGTAAATAATGGATGAATTCATCAGTCTCATAAACCTTTTGCTTTTTGCCATCATCTTCCTCAGACACTGTCTGCACATGAACTACATCCAGTGCTGGGTGGTGCCTTCCACGGAGAGGTTCGATGACCCTGCCGTCCTGGGTAACCGTGATCAGCAAAGGCCCACAGCCTTTGGAGGAGGAGCTGCACACATCTCCGCCAGGCAGTCCATCAGAGCTCGGGGCTGCAGAGGGATCATTTAAAATTGTCCTGACTATGTGAAAATTAGGTGCGCAGAAGTTACTCACATCTCCTTCCTCACAACATAAAGCACTACCTTTTTGGGTTAATGGGCACTTAAACTCCTTACGTTTCAGCTCTTTGTGCGTACGATAAAGGGAGTTAATCAGCTCCTGCTGTATGTCTTTAAATGCTGTTTCAGAAAAGGAATCATCCTTCTTTACACCCAGTGAAGGATCCACTTTTTGACTTGCCAACTGCAAAACCAAGAAAATAGAAATTTATTGAACACATCATGTTCATAATTAAGAAGGCCAATGTCAGATGTAATGAGGCCCTAAAATTCATGCAGAATAGCAAGGATAGCCTCTGACTTCAACTCATAGTAAATTACAGTCCTTTAGAAATCTTTTACATTAAGGATTGGGAAAAATACACACTTGTTAAAAGCTGCAAGCAAATTTTTTTCTGCAAATAGTGGAGACAAAGCCATATTAGAAATTAAAACCCCTGTTTTCATTTGAAACCTCTTTTGCCCAAAGCACTAAACTAAACCTGCAAACATTAACTTGTGTGCAAAACATTCAAATTTTTATCACTTCTCTGCTGACTTTCTCAAGACATTATCTGAAGCAAATTGAAATAAGCTTGGTAATGAGTGCTGGCTAAGAAAAAATAAGAGGCTATTAGAAATGCAACTGATATAATCTGTGCCATTTAGTTCAGTCACTTGTAGACCTGAGACCAAAACAAGCAGAGAGAGCATCACTTATGTCCCTATTCCAAAATTCCTTGCTTGCAACACTGGATCAAGTCTAATAGAGCTAATACAGCCTTTCTAGCCCTATTTTTTGCTCACTAAAGACAAAGTCTTGAAAAAGCATGAAAGGCAAAGTTTCTGGGTAAAAATGCAGTATGTTTGCTCTCAGGGCAAAACTGAGAGCAGATTGTCACAAGATATGGGTCTCAGGCCTTCTCAGTGTTCAGTCAGACCCAAAGCAGTCTTCTGAATAGAATCAAGATATCACATGTCTAGTGAATTATTCAAGCTATAATAAATATCCTTTAAAATTTAAAATATGTTTTAAAATAATCTTACTTTCACACGATTTAACAGCACTGTAAGCAGTCTGACAGACTCCACTCTTCTCTGAGCTAGCAGGGATTTCCTTTCTTCCCATTCAGGCATATTCTCTGGCCACTGCTGTTCTTCAGCGGGTACCTTCTGCTGCTTTGGGGGATGTTCCTCATCTCCATCTATCTGCCTCTCTTCTCTCCTCTCGAGCTTAGCTTTCCTTTTTCTCTCTTGAACTTCTTTTCATCACCAAGTCTTTTTCTAGGTAATTATCAATATGGGACAATTTAGATGACACTTGTTTTACATTTTGTGTCCTGGAGAATTGGATGTAAGTCTTTGAACTGCTAATAATAAGCAAACAGTCATCAAGAATCACATGCGGCTAACAAGGAATCTCGTATCCTTAAATAACATGTTTAAAAAACCGTAAATTGCACACACCCAACTGATCCCCACAGTTAGAAAGTTGTCTCTTCAAACAGTTTGTATTCTTGGGTTTTCTTTTAAGCACTGCCAAGACAACAGCATCACATGATTGTTTGTCCCCAAGGACACAATTAGAGACTAATCACTTGGATCTAATTCTTAAATCAACAAATCTCCCGTACAGATTAGCATGAGGGTCCCATTTAGGAGGTATTACAAGAGTAATTCAGGGGTTATCACTGAGCAAGGCTTACCCAGAGCCAAGGCCTTTTCTGCTCCTCACCCACCCCACCAGTGAGAAGGCTGGGGGTGAACAAGGAAACGGGAGGAGACACAGCCAGGACAGCTGATCTCAACTGACCCAAAGAATATCCCAGACCATATGGCCTCATGCTCAGCAATAAAGCTAGATGAGGAGGAAGGGGGGCATTTGGAGTGATGGTGTTTGTTGCCTTCCCAAGTCACTGTTATGTGGGGTGGAGCCCTGCTGTCCTGGGGATGCTGAGCACCTGCCTGTCCTGGGGAAGTGAGGAATTAATTTTGTTTTGCTTTCCTTGTGTACGTGGCCTTTGCTTTACCTATGAAACTGTCTTGATCTCAACCCTTAAGCTTTCTCACTTTTACCTTTGTGATTCTCCTTCCATCCCACTGGGGAGAGTGGGAGGGAGGGAGCAGCTGCTGTAGGACTTAATTACCAGCTGGGGTTAAACCACAACAGGCTATCCACCACTTTTTGGAAACTGCCCTCTAGGAAGTAGCTCTACCAAATACCATGACACATCACAAAAAACCTCCAGAAAATTCAAGCAACAGTGTTCACACAAATTAGTGTTTAAAAATAGTTTTTAAACAAGTATTTGAATAAGGAAGAATTAGCAATGGAAGCATAGCAGTGCTTTTAGAGACCTAGCATTAGATTCACTATGCTCTGCATTCTAAGTGTCTGGTTTTTTTAAGAAGGTGCATAACATGATTGATTACTAGTGACAGTCTAGGATGCCATCCAAGCACATTATCTAAAGAATTAAAACTTCAATTACTACTATTACATGCAAATTTAAGGACACTGCACTAAAGATATCAACAATAAAAAAACAACACACAAGAATGAGTAAAGACAGAAAAGAATTCATTTCATAGCTTTGGACTTTCCAGTCAACTGGGAGGCACTGAGAAGTGTACATCACATTAATTTTATTTCAGGGCATATTGATTTAAGATGTTGCAGCGTAGAGCAATACAAAAAGCTGACATGCAGAACCTTAAGGAATCAATCCTCAGAACAATCTGAGAGCAACAGCTCTCTGATTTCATAGGCCTGCAGAATCACTGAATAATCCAATCTGAAAGGGACCTTGGCATATCTCCAGTCCAGCCTTTCTCATAATCCTGACCCTGGCATCTGACCCTTACATGCAGAATTATCACTATGGTTTTCTTTCCAATATATAAATTAGTATTGTTTCAATTTCTCCAAATCCCATTTCCTAAAAGCCTGGATTTTTACACAGCCACTCTTCCTTGGTATTTTACTTGGTATGAGGAAGTGCAACAAATCTCAAGAAAATGGGACATTCTCTAAAAATATACTCTCACCTTTCAACCCCCTCTTTTTTTCACTCTTTTTCGAATGCACTGTTCTTGCAGCTTTAGTCTTTCCAGGTTTCTCTCTCTTATGGCTCCTTCACTAAAAATGTCTGGTTGTGTCAAAAGCTACCTGTCACAAAAGCAGAATCAGACTTAGCAGCCCAGTTTGCTGGGTGTTTATACAAACACAGACAACCTGCTGAGCAAATGAGAGACCCCAGGTAACTACCAAAACACCTCTACACTCGTGAGAATGCCTCACTCTACCCTGACATACCACAACTTCTGAAGTTCATACTGGGTTGTCAATCAAGCACAAACAAACCTCTCCCAAATCTCTCCTCCTGCTGTGACATCAGGAACTCACAATCTGACAACATACCTTTGACCAAACCTGCTCCTGGGTAGGCTCTTCTGAGGACTCAAAGTTCAGCATGTTCAGCACAGCATTCCTAGTTGCAGGAGTCATGCAGTTCTGCCAAAACTAAAGTTCACTGACTCTTAGAGCAACATCTTTTGGATCAAATGCTTGTTTGCTTGCTTAAAAATTGATGGATTCTGTTGACATGTGCTGCATTTCATGAGCGTCACATGCCCAAATGTGAGCATATTAAAAGAAAACACTCAAAAAAGAAAATACAAGCAAGTTGCATCAAGGTCTATCTACACAGAAAAAAAACAAGTAATAGGAAGTATTATTTCCAGCATAGAGGGATATTTCAGGGTCACAGTTTAGAAATTACCAGCTGGGACAAAAAAATGAAACAGGCTACTCCCTAATAAGTGCTTATGGAAGTAAACCAGTAGACTGCTGGAATTAAGCTTACAGTTTGCACATTTTCTTTTATAATGTCACACTAGGCATAACACTTCAGAAGATTCAGCTCTCAACATACTTAAACAAAAAGGTACAGAAAATAGGTACCATTCTCTAGCCAAGAATCACTGAGCAGCTGCTACACTTACTTCATATTTAACAGTAAGAGACTAAGTATCTTTCAGAGTCTCATCAGTTCTTGAGATCATCTCCCAGTTTCAGCGCCAACTACACTGAAAATATTGACAACCTTTAGCTTACGAGAGAACATTTTCAGGAAATCAAAACAGTATAATGCTGGGTATTGATTAAAGGACTTAGGTTCAGATAACTGAACTCCATATATTAGGATACCTGCATCTAGTACAAATAGAATAGTCACACAGGGGTTTTTTACCCCTCACATGCTTAATTGTCCAAAAAGTTTACAGAGAGGCTTCCACTGATAATCAAGTACTTTTCAGGCCTAAATTCAAGGAAAAAGAAACAGAAGTTGGCAAACCGCCATCTGTGTCAGTTTCTTCCACAGTCTCAGCACCTAGTTACAAGTAAAGCTTAGTGTATTTTAATGCTGTTCATATGCTATATTTTTCTTTATTTTATAGACATCATTTTAACATAAATACAGACTAAATCAAATGGAGAAACAAAGATACATATACAAAAAGAACTGCAAGAGTGCCATATAAAAGCTTCCACTGAAGAGACATGAAAAGAAGTTTGTAAGCTGGTTTTCACAGGTTATAAACTATACTGTTATTATTTGAAAAATGCCTGCTTACTTTCAACATGGGAATATACAAGGGAAGACAAGCATGCAAACATTTTGATAAAAGGAGTGTGACTACATTTTATTGAGAATGACGAAGAAAAACACCCATATAGGTACTGGAGAAAAAGCTAGTGCAAATAACATTAATATAAAATAACCAGGAATCTCTGGAAGCAGCAGCTACAGCACAGACTGCAGCACTGAATCGCTCCTCTTAGGGAACTGCTGCCAAATGCACTCAGAATTAACTGCAACTTTGTCAGGCAAGGCTGAATCTCTTAGGATTAATCTCTTCACACAGCTGTGTATGTATACAGACACACCTTCAGTGTCTCATATAAGCAAAGCAGGTATACAAAGTACTTTCTACAAAACTGAAGCAGTGAGTAATCTCTAGAGTTCTTTCTGCCCACCATGCATTAAGATAAAGAGCTTCCTAAAGCTTTCCACCAAGTAAGTGCCAACTAAACTTCTGCCACCTCACTAAGATTTGTGGTGCAGCAGGTTAAAACATGCAGGACACTGTTGTTACAACCTGTAGAGTTATGAGTGTCAAGCTTGCAGACCACCTGATGTACACAAAATCTTGTTCTCTTTTGCAAGTACATCTTCTATTAAACCAACTGATATATTATCCTGCCCTTGCAAATCTTCTTTCACGTCTATCCTTACACCATCACAGCTGCAACCATCTTCCTACTACTGCAATAAATCACCTAAAAGCCCTAAACTCTCTTCATAGAGTTGAGTAAGCTACAGGGGTTTGCTAGTGCACACCATTACCCTTGCTCTTCCTCACTTGTGCTCATAGCCAGGAGCTCTTAAAGCATCAGAAATTCATTTCTCACTACATAACTGTGTACAAAGCACAGAATTATTAATGGCTGATCCATTGAATTGCTGCTCAGCAGCATGGCCTTTTGGAATCAACCCTGACCTATCAATAAGCCACTACCTTAACTGTTGCAACTGACAAATCACAAGGTATTTGACGTTCAATCCCTTTATCAAATTATTATTTCCTTTTGACCGCTCTGCCATGGTAAAAACATTTGGAAAACATCTGCCCTTGCACTAGGATTTACTACAATAACTGCAGGCTGAACTGTCCTTATCTTACAACTATGTAAATTGTGTCACCTAAATTCATACTTTAAAACAAACTTACACTTTAGAGAAAAATTAACAACCTGCCAATATCTAACCTGAAACACTCACATAGTCTATATGAACAACACGCAAGTAGAGGGAATATTTGTTCCAAAGGCACCCCTCACATTTGCTCACTGTACTGCTAGCTCGAACAGCTCTTACCATCCCCAGCTTCCCAGCTGGTCACTCATGCCAGGCCCTGGGCCATCACAACAGTTTCACAGACCATACCATCAACCAGGTCAGGAAAGAGGTTTATCTTGAAGAGAAAAAAAAAAAAAAAATCATGTTTTGCTAGGTTGCTTTTTAGACAGTTGGTTTCCCTGCTCTCAGGGACAGTGTAGCCCCTGAGCAGTCCCACCAGCAGATGTGAAGGCAAGCTCAAGGCAGAGGAAATATTTTAATTCTGCAGAGGTGGGTTAGGCAGGAGCACTACAAGCTAACACAATGTGGCAACTGTATGTATTGATCCACAGCAGCAGAGTTCATCATGCAGGGCAAAAAAGCTGGGGTTGTTTAGCCTGGAGGGACCTTATGGCTCTCCACAATCATCTGAAAGGAGGCTGGATCCAGGTGGAGGTCAGTCACCTCTCTCAAGTAATGTGAGAGGAAGTGGCCTCAAATTATATTAGAGGAGGTTCAGATTAGATATTAGGAAAAACTTCACTGAAATGGTGATCAGGTATTGGAAGAGGCTGGAAACAAAACCCCTGGAAGCCGTCAAATGGTTTGTGGATATGGCACTTGGAAACATCGTTTAGCGGTAAACGCTACTGGTTAGACTCTGTGATCTTTGAAGGCTTTTCGAACCCTAGTGATTCTATAACAAGCACTTACCAGAAAGTCACTTGGAGAAGTTTAAAGAAGAGCTTTAAACTGACTTTTAACAAATGAGTTTACCCATCCTGCTCTACGCAAAATTAACTGAAAAGCAGCGATGATCAGAAGTGCCGCTGCTCTCACGAATATTGCAATAAAGGAGCGTTTTGAAGCGAACACTCCCAGCACCGCTATGCTCCACGCTGTCTGAGGTGAGGACAAAACAAACCGCCAGCCTCAGCCCAATGGACAGAGCCACTGAAGGCCGCGGCTCCCCGAGTTCCAGCAGCACCGCAAGCCGGGTGCCGGCAGCGCCGGCCGAGGGCAGCCCGGCGGGCAGGGCCCAGCCCTCGGCGGCTTCAGCGGGAACCGCGACCCGAGGGGCCCCTCTCCCCCGTCCCGGCTGCGAGCCCCGGGCAGGTGCGCACCCAGCTCGGGCTGCCCGAGCGCCGCAGGAGCCGGGCCGGGCAAGCCCCGCGCCGGGAACCCCCGGGCCCAGGCCCGCCGCGCCCTCCGCACGGGCCGGGCTCCTCCAGCCCAGCCCGCTGCCCGCCCGGGGCCGGAGCAGAGGGAGGCTCGACCCGCCCATGCCGACAGGCCTGCGGGCAGCCCCAGCGGAGCCGCCGGGAACCGCCCCAGCAGCCACAGCAACTTTCCCTGGCGGAGCGAGCGCCGCGGCCCGGGCCAGGCCGGCTCGGCCCACCCCGGCCCGGAGCGCCCTCCGCCGGCAGCGCCCCGAGCCCGCTCCCCAGGGCCGGCCGCTCTTACCCTCCGGCCGCCGCGGTACCGCCGGCCCTCCGGCCGCCACCCCGGGGCGGAGCGCGGCAGCGCCCATGGACCCGCCCCCGGGGCGCGGCTCCTCCGCTCCAGCCGCCTCGCCTCCTCCGAGGCACGGCCGCCTGCCCGCCCCGCCGTGCGGTCTGTGGGGATTGCACGGACGTTCTTGCGGAACGATTCACGGAGCGAGTCCCAGGAGGTGCCAGCGGCTGCTTTTTCTGCCCGGCCCTTCGCCCGTGACCTGCACAGCCGGCCTCGGCTGCAGCTGCCTGCTGCCGGCATCTTCGGCCTGTGGGCATCCTGTGTGTGCGCGTTGTATTAAAAATAAACCAAAGAGAAAAAGTTACTCCTCGGCAGCTGCCTCGCTCAGGCAGAGCAAAGACTTGGCTATGATGCAATATTGTCCTTTTGGTAGCAAAGGTAATTCATCCACCACTGCTCACGAGTGGTAAGTGTGTGAGGGTTTGTGTCAGCCTTTCCCTGGTTTAGTACTGGCCTGTAGGTGTTTTCCCGGTGGGAAAGCTCTGTCTGTGTGGTACGACTGTCGGCTCCCAATGGTGCAGCGCTCGCCCATGTGCTGCTGATGGTACCGTCCCCGCTTCTTTGCTTGTTCTGAATTTAGCATCCCCGAGGGCATTCAAGGTAGGGTAGCAGGGTAACCATTTTTTCAAATACTCCCTCAGATTTCAGTTTGGTTTTTTGTCTCTTGTGGTATTCTAAATGCAATTGTACAACCTTAAATATATATATATATACATATACACCCCTTCTTAAAAGCAGACACTTCACTTCTTCTCCTGGATCAATACAGTTGTGACTAGGATGGGTGATGACCGTGGGATAAAGACAGAGGGGACTGCAGGCAGAGGGGGTGTACCAACCATTTCTACTCTGCAATGGTTTAATTGCTATGTGTGTAATTGCAATCCGAGACCAATCGTTACACATGTATTTACTGTGGGAGTGCATTTCTGTTACACGTTTGTGTGTCTAAAGCATGTTTGTGTTTTCTCACTCTACAGGTTGGTAAGACAAAGATACTGTGTTTACCTACGAATGTTTTCCTGATCTGGTTGCCTTCTCCACAGTTGTTGCTCCTTGTGTTAGGAAGTTTTCCTGGGACTTATTACATGCTGACATTTGTTTGAGGGTTTTTTATCTTAAGAAATTATTTGATGAAACAAATTTCCAATATACTCTCTCTAAGTTATGTGATTTTTTCTTCCCGTTCTACATAATTTTTCCAAACCCAAACAAGCAAACTGGGATTTGAGATCAGTTTGCAGTAGCAGGGTCATTATATTCCCCTTCTGCTTTTCCAAACCAGCAACAAATTGAGAAACTTTAATGTTTCAGCTCTTGAATAAAAGGTTTAATGTAGCCATACAAAGATATTTCTTTCAAGATCTGAGAGTGTGTCTCCTGAATGCAGAAAACCAGTTCCTTGCCCGTATAATTAAGCAAATTATGTGTCAATACAACCAGTTCCTTGCCCGTATAATTAAGCAAATTATGTGTCAATACAATCTATTTTGCATTCTGTATTTCAGGGAACAAGCCGCTGTAACCTGCAGTCTTTTGCCTTTGTGGAATATCCTGCCTGCTGGGATCGAGCACAGAGCTGGAGCAATATCGAGAGTTCCTCTGGGAAATGAGTCAAGGAATGCACAGAGCGACATCACAGCCAAATGAGTTTGCTTTAAAGCCTGGCAACCAGGGCACTTGGAGAAACTTCTCGGGAAGCTTCAGGATTAGGCTGGGGAAGAAGATGGTTGGAAGAAACTCTGAACATGAAGCTTAAATACATAAAAGTAATACTCTTGGCTATGTTTCTGCTTGTGGTTGGTAATGTCATTCCAGGAATTACATCTGGATGTTACATACTGCTTAAGTCATTTGAAAGCTAAGACAACTTTTCTGATTGAGAATATAGGTATAGGTCTGCTATTGCTAGGTTGTACAGTCTGTAGGAAAACCCAAACCTCAGAGTTGTATTTAATTTTGAAATACAAAACTTAAAACTGTTCCAAGGGACAGTATAAAACTCACATAGTTTTGTTTCATAAATAACAATGATACAACCTTGCTTATTGCTGTTTGCTGTCATTGCAGGTTTGACTCAGGAAACTAAGTTGTGCAGTGTTGAAATATTCTTTCCTTATATACTAATGTGATCAGTTATTGAGTGAGAGGCAGCTTGCCTACACAACTGCTTTCTAGAGAGGCACAAGTGAATAAAGGGTTGAATGCTGCCATCCCCTAGATGGCTGTTCAGAAAACTTGTTAAGCTTGCATATCTTTAAGGTAATATTAGAAAGTACCCGGTGGTGTTTTCTTTTTTCAATGTGTCTCAGACTTTCTAATCATTCTGTATGGTGATAGGTTTAATCTACAAGAAGGTTACTTCAGAAATACTTTGTACGTAAGTGGGTGATTTTGCTGGAAGGGAAGGGAGGAAGGCAGGAAGGCAGGAAGGGAGGAAGGGAGGAAGGAAGGGAGGAAGGAAGGGAGGAAGGAAGGAAGGAAGGAAGG